ATTAAAATGTAGACACTTATGACACCCACGCTTGTAAAAAAGCTAACTTATATGCTTACTTATGTGAAATTGTCATCAGTTTTTTTTGCAGGGACAACGAGGAGCCAAGTCATGGTCACAGGTTGAACTCACATGATGTGTCACATGCTGACCAAGGCACATACAGTCAGAGGGAATCTCACGCAAGCCCCCAATGTCACGCGTGCCTCCACAGAGGACACTATTACCTCAAAACATGTCATACACATCATTCACACACACACAATCGAGCGGAGGGAAAATGATCTCAGTGTCTCTGCTTGCGTGCGGTTGATTCCCGATGACATTTTAATTCTCAGCAGTTATTCGTTTTCCATCCATCCTCTTCTATTACAATCACCCCCCCTGCCCGCCTCTATATTCGCCCTCTCTCTCTCCTTTACCCCTCCCTCCCTCTGTCTCTCCATCTTTCGATGTCCCGTGCTCTTGGAGGGTGGGCGACTCACAATCACATCGTATTAATCTCCAGCACCAAAACACACAACAAACTGGGCCACGGCACAGCAGTCTCCACCCCCCCGCCTCCGCCCTCCCACCCGCCCGTCGGAGTTCCGAAAAAAGGAGGACTGGAGTGAGGGGCGCACCTGATCTCCGCATCTGACAAACACCGATGCACGCACAGCGCCGAGGGAGAGGATGATTGCTCGTGACACATCCGCTGCCATTTTAGGGGGTTTAGTTATGAGTGAGAAATATTGTTGGAAGCCTGAAAAGTGCTGCCGTTTCCCGCCGCATTGTTGAATAAAATCGATGTCATGATTTATGAGCACTGCTTATAATCCATTTGGGTATTGTCATGTTGTATGTCTGCTCACTTCTGTGCGCAAAGGACATTGTGTCGCTTTGATGAGAGACTGGTAATCTGGTTTGATGCACAGCGAGTTAATGATGCCACAGTATGGTCAGTATATATCCCTGCGCATCAACAAGCAATCTACACAAAAACCCCTAAAGCTGCTTATGTCCTCTATAAGATATTTATATATAGAGCAGAGACGGGTCATTGTCACTGTCAGAGAGAGGGATGAAGAGGAGGAGGAGGAGGAGGAGGAGGGATAAGTCATCAGTAGGCATAAACACATAGGCCCATTTCGTCCCATTCATTCTCGCGTAATTAAATGACGAGAAACAAATTGTGGACGAGGAAAAGCGTAATAAGCCTGACTGCCCATTTCGCAAAAAATAATCCACGCCAAATAAATGAAACTGCCGGAGCATGGACATGCATAATGGACCAAAAGAAAGAAAGAGAGGCACAAAGCGTGGAGGAAGAAAAAAGGGAGCCATTATGAAGAGGCCGGGTGGATGAGCCTTGTGTAACGCCACTAAAGTGCTGGCCATGTAGGACAGCCACGACCAATGTTCCTTACAACTGGGTCAATGTTGCCGTCCCGGGGCAGCGAGGGCATTCTGCGTGATGCGCGTGTATTGTGAGTATCCGTTCGCCCCCCCCACAAAGCTCATGGAAACTGCTATCTCTGCAATCCCTGTCAAGTGCACCTCGGAGTGGACCTCCATGCATATTGAATGAATACTTCAATGACTACTTATCAATACTTAATGAATACTTATCAGTGAATCCCTGAGTGACTTCTATTGCACTGATTTTTTTTTAAAGGCTTTTAAAAAAGGAGCGCAGAGCCTTTATAGCTGCGCCTCAGTACGCACCCCAACAGTGGAGAAGAGGAGTTCACGGTCGCGTTTGAATGTCTGAACGTGACATTTTCCCAGAGTCGGCTGAGGTGATGCAGTCGCACAGAATGATAAGTAACACTTGAAGCTATCGCGTGGAGTCTGACGGCCTGCAGACCAGAGATGGTAAAAGTACACACATCCTTTACTCAAGTAGAAGTACAGATACTCGTGTTTAAAAATACTCTGGTAAAAGTAGAAGTACTGACTAAACTTCTTTACTCAAGTAAAAGTAAAGAAGCAGAGGCTTTGAAATGTACTTAAGTAAAAAGTACCCATAACTAGCAGCTGTTTTAAAGAGTACCTGACCTCCCTTTATATTTATAGAACAATAATGTCATTGTTAGCTAATGAATGTTTCCATGCTGAACAACAGCAAAATGACAACGTTTTCATTGGTCCCTCTTCTTTAGAGAAGACCAGGAAATGATGGATACACGGATCGTGTTCAAATCAATAGGCACGCAATGACTCTAAATAATAATGATCACGCCACCAAACACACATTCAGACTAAAGGAACCAGCCTGTTGGAAAATGAGAGAAGTAGAAAGTACAGGTATTTGAGTTCAACATGTAAGAAGTAGAAAGTACAGGTATTTGAGTTCAACATGTAAGAAGTAGAAAGTACAGGTATTTG